TCAGTATTACTTCGTTCAGTTACGTATTGCTATACTAAAAAACGATATTAAAAGATAAATTAAAAAAACTAGATAGAAAGATAGGATAAGATATAATATATAGATAGGATAGAAAGATAGGATAAGATACGAAAAACGATAAGTGCGGCAATTCGACAGATAAAAACTAAAAGAAAAGATATGTCACTCCAGGAACAAAGATAATGCATCCGCCAAATCAGATAAAGATAATGTAAGGTAAATTTGGCAGATACGAGGTAAAGATACGTTCCCTAGAGTGACCCAAAAACAACAAAAAACAAAAAATCTATCTGTCGAATGGCCTGCCAATAGACACCATCACTACAGGGTCCAGATAAAACAAGAGTTGCCTTCTGGCAAGCAAGGATTCGTTAAAGGTGACATAAGTCGTATAATATAAATATTATAAAACACTTAGGTCTTCTGGTTCGTCTCTGAGAGTACTCCTGCAGTGATTGATTCTATTCGTCACCTCTGAGGGTTCCTGTTCGACAGCTTGCGTCTCAGTACATAAATAAGAAAGATAAAAATAATTAGTACCTACTAAATAAAAGTTAAAAGGTATTAGAAAATTTTTTACAAAACTACCATATACGTGCTACTAAGATAAGAAGATAGAGAAATGATAATAAGAAAAATGAACTGTGAGATAAACAGATAAAATAGAAAAAGGAATTTAAAGTTACAAGCTAATTAGATAATTAAATCCAAATAATTAAATCACATTAGATAGTAAGAAATGTTAAAAAAAATAAAACTAATAAATAATTTCAAGTCGTACACCTCGTGCCGGTGTCTGGAAAAAAAACTAGATGTTTAAACAAAGAAGATCGAGATGAGAGAGTGATTTTCGGCAAAACAAGTCCCTTTATAGAACTTTCCCATTCATTTAGACATGCGTTAAGTACAAAATGTCAATATAAAAAATTTATAATTAATAGTAAAAATAATAAATACGATAAAATTTCTTACATACCTTCAAAAAAAATGTGTGTAACAATTGCATCTTAATTATTTAACACTAAACAAAATATTAATAATAAACCTTCGTTTTCGTAAAAATAAACAAATTATTATCAGTAACCCATAGGCAACAGAAAATATATAAAATATTTAAGCAATTTAAACTAACAACCATCGCTAGTGATGTGTACCACTATCGAGGTTCCGCAAAAAATCGATAATATAAAAAAACGGATATTGATATAAAAGGAAAAATGTAACGAAAATTTTTTTTTTTTTTTTTTTAAACTATTACCTTTTTAGTACTTCAGGTCCAAAAAATCATTTTTGTTTAAAATATTACTAATGGAAACCTATTCAGAATTTGATTACAGCTTTCTACAGAAAAATCTAAACACCTCAAATAAAAAATGCTGTCGTTTTCATTGGAAAGCCGCTCTTGGTTATGTATTAGAGTTATGGAAACT